TAGGCTCTAAAAATTATGCTAATCACAATGGCATAGTCAATTTCAGTTTCTGTGACCGATAGGGCTTTCAATTTAAATTCCAAAGCAGAAAGTCAAATAGATTTTCCTACGGTAAACAGATAGAAATTCAAAACCACATATATTCATATAAATGGCACTCAAAATCATATCAAACACATAATCATATTCGTAATAAAGATCAATCAGCATAATACTGAACAGGGTTATCACAATGCATTAACCCCTTCTCCTCCACGTCAACCCATTGATTATTTGTTACCTCATCGTAAACATCAAAGTCATCATGACGGGCATCCTTGTCAGCATCATCTTTTTCTTTGCCCAGCTGTCTGAACACATAACTTTGATCAACTCTTCAATGGCTACCATCATTCACCCATGACTTACTACCAGTTACAACCTCTTCAGAATGATACCCATGGCTCTAACGAATACCCTTCACAACTCTTATTGGATACGAGATGCCCCTGCTTTCCATGTAAACCATATTATCTATACGTTCCATCTGTGATGTGATAATTTCCACCTTACCATATTTCAATGATGCCATACTCAATGTTTCATCACGAATACTCACCACTTCACCCCACAACTTGCCAATCCTTTAAAGTTTTTAGAGTTCCACAAATTTGGTGGAACTCCATAACAATACAACCATGTCACTCTTTTATTATCGATTTTCATCGCTTTCTCCCACTCCACCGCCGTTTCACACCAGTCCTTAACCCATTTGCTAAAGATAATGCTTATGCTCCTCATTGCTTGAACTGATGGAAAAGAACGCTAATCTACCCAACCTTCCTTCACTTCAATATTTTCGAAGCCTCTGCTCTGTAGATCCTCCTTAAAATCTCTAAATAAAACTTGGGTTTTCAACTTAACCACTAAGCTGCTGAATAACCACCCAATCTCATATTCTGCATGCAGTTTCAGTTCCCTGCCCTTCTTCAGTGCTTAATCTTTCACCACCTCAGCATACGTACTCTTCCTCCTTGGCTTCTTAACTGCTTCTCTGATAACCTTTGATGGATTATATGTTTCCTTTGACATTTGCTCCTTACCAAAATTTGTTTTCTTCACTTTTCAGATTTTATTATCACACTGTAGCTTGCTTTTCGTGCTCCTTTCAGATACGACTAACCCTATAGTTTAGACTCCCGTGGTTCTGAATCTGATTTGACAAGTACATTGTGAAATATTGAAAACACAAAAAGAGTCCAAATCCGACAATTCTTTTGAAAAATCAATTTTGAATCAAATGCCAAAAATGGGCTGCTTTGCCAGATTACAGAGTCGCCACCTAAATATTTTTAGGAAATCTAGGAAACCCGAGACTCGTGCCAAAGGCCATTAGTCCGTCATCACCAAAGTGTCTCAGCTCGGGAACTTAAGGTAAGAGAGGGGAAGGTCATGAATTGAGCACCCCACTCGCTTGATCAAATATCGGCCTCTACTAATCATGATGTGATTTTTAGGTACATTAGATGCTCTTGTTCCAATTATTAGACTAACATTACTATGTGTTGCACACAAGTATATACTAATTTGCAAAAAATTGAAACACTTTGACTTCATGTTTGTTTGAAAATTGTTTTGAATAGGCGTCACTTAAAAAGGTGAGTTTGTACTAAACCTACCATAAAATCATATAAATCCTAATTAGCATATAACACAAATCAATTTCTGATTCGGTCGCCGATAAGACCTTCAATTTGTAGTTCGAAATTAAAACATGAACAGATTCATTCAGAAATCAAATAGATAGAAATGCATTTAAAACAATACACTCCTACAATCAATTCAGGATTTCATTCTAATTAGTTACTTATCATGCTTAATTAGAGATTAGTACTAATCAGAGGTGAGTGTTGTCACAGCACACATTTATGTCACTTTTATAGGCTCGGCTATGAGCATTGTATATGATTCAATTCCAAGACATGTGATAAGTCACGTATTCAAACAATGAAAGTGAAATTGACATCAGTTAGTATGACGAGCCGAACCCAAATGCATGTGAGACGAGTGTATGCGAACATGAGAAATGCTAAAACACATGATGCTCTACACTACCATTATAAGCGGAGAAATAAAAAGGAGAAAGAAATGGGATTGGAAGACATACGCACTTATTACATATTTTGCTCTCGTACAAGAGGGTCTCAATGAGCGTCCAATTGTCCGGATTAAAACTACTTATTACAAGTCCGACCGAATGAATAATAAATAAATAACTAGCTTTAATTTATTACAACAAGGATATTGTAACAATAATAATCAGAACACTAATTACAACAATATGATATCAACAATAATAATAATTACAGCAATAATATGAACAATAATATTACAACATTAATGTATATAAAAAATGCACAAGGATTGAATGCACGCCAATGAAGGTCATTGGCAGAAACTTTTATGTCTGCCTTCTGTGCAATTGTTTTGTTTCACTCTCAGGCACTGCCCTCTGCTTCTGCCAAAAATGCACTGCTTACCAATCACTGGAGACCGGCCAGCCTCAAATAAAGCCCGCCATGCCCTATTTTTGTGTAAAACCCTGTTTTTGTGCTCTAAAGTGAAAACAATGCAAACAGAGTTATTCTGAACTCTGTTTGTCCTTTCTACTCTTCTCTGTCATGGAAAGGTTCGAGAGAAGAACGAAGTCATTGCCAAAACCTTCAATTAGCAAATTGATTGCTTGATGAGTTAGGACATGATTTTGGACAAAAATCAATTAGTGCAATGAATCGATAACCACCCAATCCTCCTATCATGGAGTAAGCTCAAAGAGGGAGGTAAAAATGCTTCAAGGCTCATCGAAACATCATGAAACGCGCTGCCTTAACCGAGCAGCTTCCTTCAAGGCTGGGCCACACAACTTGGCCCAACACCTGTTCGGCCCAAATCTGTCTGGCACAACTCTGTCCGGCCCAAATCTGTCCGGCCCAATTCCACGGCCCAATCCAGATCATAAATCTCCCTCTCAATTGCCAAAACCTTCAATTAGCAAATTGATTGCTTGATGAGTTAGGACATGATTTTGGACAAAAATCAATTAGTGCAATGAATCGATAACTACCCAATCCTCCTATCATGGAGTAAGCTCAAAGAGGGAGGTGAAAATGCTTCAAGGCTCATCGAAACATCATGAATTGATGTAAAACGACCTTTGACACAATAGATTCGGTATAACGTCCGGTCAAACCCAAGCAATATAACTCATGTTCTTTATGTTGGTTGGTTCATTTTAAGCCAAATTCATTAGTCTTTAAAATTTAAAAAAAAACTGATAATGTTCTCGATTTTATTGGATAGTTGAATCAAATCAATAAGTAAAAAGATAAAAATATTTAATTTCATGCTCTTTTTTTTTTCATCAGTTAGTAAAATAATTATCTGGAACATTACTATGCAAAATTGATAATGTTTTTAGTTTTAAATATTGAGAAAAACTGATAATATTCTCAGTTTTACTAAATAGGACTTATTAGTTTAAAAACTTTTAGATAGAACTTAAGCTACCATATTATTTATAAATATGAATTTTAAATAATTAACTCTAATTATAATTTAAATATAATATTTTAATTTAATTTATTTTTATTGATTATTTTAACTCAAATTACACTTTGCATACATCCCTAATTACTCAACAAATTAGATAGAGTAATGTTAAAGATCCTAAAAATTTTACTAAAATTTTTACCAAATATTTTATGTGGGAATGACACCCATACCATATAAGTGTCATATGAGTCACACACACGATCAGACATTTAGGGTTGGTTTGGGACGTTTTTAAAAAAGTGTATTTTTTGATTTATTGACTTATATGAGTTGGATTTGGATTGAGTTTGATGTGATGTGTTAGAGAGGTGATGTGATTTAAATAAGATGATGTGACTTAGGGGTTGTTTGGGGTGTCCTAAATAAGTGCACTTTTTGTCTTTTTGGACTAAAAAGTTGAGGGAAAAAATATGGATGTTTGGGTTTACTTTTTGACTTTTTATGGAAAAATGTATAATAAAAAATTGTAAAAATTGGTTTGTAGAGGAAAATTAGGATTGGGAGTTGTGCAGCCGTAATTGTTGACTTTTGGTAAATAGTGTTAACTTTTTAACTTTTTGAATAACTTTTTGACTTTTTGACTTTTTTTAAGTATCCCAAACTTGGCCTTAAATAGGATAGTGACTTTTTATATTATTTAATTTATACTAAACCAATCCTTAATATAATTTTTAATAAAACTTTTTGAGATGTATCGTATTTTTGAATTAGGTAAAGGCCTCTATGATCTCGACACGTATCCCCACAAGGGACACATGCCCACAATCTATTAGTCACCCTCCCCGCTAAACTAGCCTTTAATAACTTCCATAAATAAATAAAATCACGCCAAACAAAATTTGGGATTCCATTCATGAATCAAATTTGAAGCCTTGTTTATACCTGCAACCATTCGTTTCCCTTTTTCTCTCTCTCTCTCTCTCTCTATCTATCTATTCACATATGAGCAGGATCTTGACTTATTGGCTTATATGGGTTGGATTTAGATTGAATTTGATGTGATGTGTTAGAGAAATGATATGATTTAAATAAGATGATATGACTTAAATAGGATAATGACTTTTTATATTATTTAATTTATGCCAAACCAATCCTTAATATAATTTTTAATAAAACTTTTTGAGATGTATCGTATTTTTGAATTAGGCAAAGGCCTCTATGATCTCTACACGTATCCCCACAAGGGACACATGCCCACAATCTATTAGTCACCCTCCCCGCTAAACTAGCCTTTAATAACTTCCATAAATAAATAAAATCACGCCAAACAAAATTTGGGATTCCATTCATGAATCAAATTTGAAGCCTTGTTTATACCTGCAACCATTCGTTTCCCTTTCTCTCTCTCTATATCTATCTATCTATTCACATATGAGCAAACCAGAATCTGAATCGATGGCTTCTCGATCTTCTTCTTCTATCTATCTATCTATTCACATATGAGCAAACCAGAATCTGAATCGATGGCTTCTCGATCTTCTTCTTCACCCCAAAAGGTTTGAAATCACACTAAATATTATGTATATGTATCGTACAATATGAAATCATTGATTGAAAAATTGCAATCTTAGGATTTGGTTCCTTCGAATCGCATAAACACCTGTTAGATATTGCTTCGAATTGGCGTTGAGTATGGTTTTCTTCTTCTTCGGTTAGGGTTTTCTCTCTCCTAGGGTTTTTTTCTTCATTTTATGTAAAATCTGAATCTTAGGGACTGCTGGTTCTGATATATTAATATTAGTTTCCTCAAATATTCTGCGTTTCTGTATTTGGTGTTATTGAAGGAGACAGATATAGAAAGATTGTTTCTGTATCTAGTTCAGCAGTGAATGATGAGAGAGAAGAGGTTAGGAGGAGACGTTAGACTTCGGTCTCCGCCTCGTGTAACTTTGCAAGGTGGACGGGACTATTCGCTGCCGCGTGGGCGATCACGAGACCATAGAACTGGGTCTCCAATTCGATCCAGTGTGCAAGGTCGGGACTATTCGTGGCGAGAGAGGCATTCACACTTTGTTCCAGGTTTGAATGAAAGGGAGAAGTCGAGGCGGGTTTTGGGTAGTGAGCATCCCAGTGGTTCATCACAGAGAAGAGATTATAGTAAGCATTTGGATGGAGATGGAGACGGGGAATTGCAAAAACTGTCCCAGTTTAACGAAGCTTTGTCACAAAGGGACTCACCGTCCTTGAAGTTCCAGTGGAAATATCTTTTAGACGAACACAAAAGAGTGAATGATAATGTAAATCACAGCTCGAAGAATTTTCCTGATTGTGGTGTTGGTATTATTAGTAGTACCAGAGTGAATACTGAAAGGAATTATCAGGGCATTGGATTTGCAGATACGGCCCGCTCTGGGATGATGGTGGCGAAACCCATACATATGGAAATCGGAAGGGACAGAACTTTCCCTGGATACCTTCCTCCAAGTGGCACTTGGAGAAGTTCTGTAGACACTGATAGTGGTGGCCTTTTATTGCCATCACAAAAATTGAATAGCACTCTTGACAAGGACGAAGACATGCGATTCCAAGCCCACCTGCCTGCTGATAAACTACCAGCAAGAGAATTATTGAAGGAGGAAGATATTTCTAAATTCTACTCAAGGGAAGAGAAGACCCACTGCCACTCAAGGGATACTTCTCATTATGCAATACCATCATCTCAGTCCAAGACGTCGACCACTGTCCCTTTTGGAAGTTCAATGAATGATTACCATTATTCCGGTGGCAATGGTTACCCCATTCGTTTGGATGGATTCAGTAGGAGTTCAGGATTGCTTAATGATCCTATTTCCCATGAGGCGTATACTCATGATTCACATTCCAATTCCTCCAGAGACCCTACCTTGCACCTAGAAGATATGACAAACTACATGAAGGTTCAGCTTAGTCCGAAGGAGGGCACACAAAGGGGTTATGCTTATTCTGAAGTGCAAAGAAGTGAGAAGAGCGATATGGGTTCTCTGACTGATAAACTTTATGGGAAGATGGTGAGTATTGAAGATGACTATGGCCATCGAGAGTCATTAGGACCTAGAATTGTGGAACCTATCATAGACAGGATAGTTGTTACAGAAAGTTCTGGTAGAGAGCGACTGATTGAAGGCAGACTACGGGACTATCATCGCTCTTCACAAGAACAGCCAATTTCCAATTATCCTGATGCAGCTAGATCATCATATGCAAGTAAGAAAGAGGGAGAAGATTTGGGTCCTAGGAGTGTGCACCTTGAGTATGAAAGAGAACTATATAGAGGCCATGAAAACATTTACTCTAGCGAAGACCATGGTTATGGAATAGATGATCATCTTCATTCTGATGAGGAAAGATTGAATATGTCGTTGATGGAAGATTATGATCTTTGGTTAGACGGGGTTGATGATAACCATCAAGACAGATTCATAGTAGAGGAACTAGGCTCTCTTGAGCACCCTAAAAGGATGCTTAAAAGGAAATGGGATGTTGACAAGAAACTAATTAGGCAGAACCCAGGAAGTAAGTTCTCAAGTAACAGGAAGATCACCGGAAAAATTCATGATACTAAGTCAAATAAGCCACTGTTGAGTTCCTCACGATACAGAAATGTTGGAAAAACTTTCAATGGGATGGTTGGTCATAGAAATTGTAACTCTAATGCATCTGGTAGTCTGTCAGCATGTAATCCAAGGCGTTTAAAATATAGTTTTAGAGATATAAAGAAGAGACTGGGGCCTGTTCCTCAACATGTTCATATTCCACAGCCTTCAGCAAAAAAAATCAGGCTGCAGAAGTCCTTGAGAAACAATCAAGATGGTTATCATGGAAGTATTCATGCTGAAGAGGGAGGGCCTTCAGAAGTTAAGCTCACCCCTGCAAAGTCTGAGCCACCTGAAAACTCTAAGGAGTTTAAGCAGCTGGTGCACAGTGCATTTTTCAAATTTGTCAAACAACTGAATGAGAATCCAGCGCAACGCAGAAGATTGAAAGAGCAAGGAAAAATTGGTAGTTTAAAGTGCAGTGTTTGTGGCAGGTCTGTCTTCTACATTACGGTGTTTTTTTCTCCACCCCATTGTTTGATTGAAATTATTCCTACTCATTCTGCTGCAATCAAGTAAGTACGATTTAACCTGATTATGGTTTCTTCAGCTTATGGGAACTCATGGTGAAGGTTTGCATCAACTTAAGGGTTTTGCTTCTGTTTTTCATGAAACTTCACTGTTTCATGAATATTTTAAATGTGGGAAGTATTTGAATTGCATGATTGGTAGGATCTCTTCTACTTGATGGGAGGTCAACACTGAATTTAAGATCATGAACACTTAATTTAAGGGAAATGCTACTGCAATACAAGATGTTGGAAGGTTCTTGGTTTTCAGTATTTGCTCGATGTATCATCTATGTTGCTTTTGTGCATCCAATACTCTTCCTGTGGTTGGCATCTGCTCATAAGAACTGGGTCAGGGATGACTCCTGTGTGTGTGTGTGTGTTGTTATTGAATTTTATAATGCTTGAATAACATAGATTAGTGAAAGCGACTCCATATGACTTTCAGATTGAGTGAATGGAAATGATGGGGTTGCAAGAAAGTGAAAAATAAATGGAAGCTAATTTCTCTTTCGGCTCTGATTTGAGCATGAAGAGGAGGTGTGACATTAAAAAAAAAAAGTTTGTATAGAAATTGTGGCCATTGTGTTGTCATAGTACTATTAGCAGTGGTGGCAGGGTTGGCATGATGATGGTTTTGGTGGTAAGGTAGCACTTCTTGGGTAGCACTGAGTGGTATTGCTGGAGAGAAGGAGGCATAAGCAAACAAGAAGCCATCTTGTCATTAGAAGTTAAATTGGGAAATGTACAGTTATAGGCTTTTGTTTCTTTTCTTTTCCCATTAGGTACTTATGCCTAGAAGTTAAGAAGGAATTTTTTTGCTCCAGCAGTTTTTCCTTTTCCAAATTATCAAGTAGTGGTTGAGATCTTCATTGCTCACCTGTGTCAGTATTTGGAGAGTATCATAGAGGGGAAACTTATGTAGGCGAAGTACGGATTCTAGTCAATATTACTTTCATTGATAACATTGGTAGAGCTATGAGTTGGGAAAATGGAGACCTCATGAACTATTGTTGCCAATATGTTTTTGGTTGGAGAAATAACTGTTGTTAGGTATTCTTTGATGTCCACAGTTTCAATCAGGTGGTTCTTTTCTACCGCTGGCTACCAGTTATTTTGTTTGTTTCTTTGATTGTTGAGGACTCTTTCAGCAGCATTCCATATGAAAAGAGGGTTTGATTGATGATTGTAATTTGGTTAGCCATGCTGCTTCAGTTTTTTTGTTTTGTTTTGTTTTGTTTTGTTTTTATTTTTATTGGGACAGTTGTTTGTTGTTAGATTAGCTCCTAAGGGAAGTTGAACCCCCAGCCTCTCCCTTGCAAGCACCTAAGTGTTGCCTCCATGCCACAAGGACATGGGAGCCATGCTGCTTTAGTTACCTCAGATGTCTTACCCTTACGATTTATTTTTCTCTTTAATTGCATTTGGAAAGCCTTCTTTGATCTTGTTAAAACTGTCTTTAGTCCCTCAGACAACAATAGGTTATTAATGGAGAATGCTAGTGATATGAGTCAAAGTTGTATACATCAGGTGCGACTTGATTGTCAATCTAGAGATATTTTTCCAACTACCCTATTAGAAAACACATGTTTCTTTCTAATGAATTGTGGATATTTGAAACAAGTTAAAGGATATTTTTTTGTCCTTCCATTTTCCACCTATTCCTTTTAAAGAATGGTGCTTGTGTAGTTTGCCCTGCACACTTTTTTGTTTGGTTTTCAGTACTTAATTATTGATTATTGCAATGTGTGCCTGTTGTTTCAGCGATTCCAAAGTGTTTCTAGATACAAAAAGCCTGGTGATGCATGCCTGCACGGCTCCAAAGGTTGGTTTCAGAGCGCGTCATTTGGGTTTCCACAAAGCAGTTTGTTCCTTGATGGGATGGAAGAGTGCAGAGATCCTTAACAGTCAGTGGGTTCACCAGGTATTGCCCAATGCTGAAACGGTGGCTGTGAAGGAAGACTTCATTATCTGGCCTCCAGTTGTGGTCATTCATAATAGTTCGGTAGGAAACATTAATCCAGATGGACGTGTGATTGTATCCATCGAAGAGCTTGAGGCTATACTAAAAGGTAAGACGCTCATCTCGATGATCAGTCCTATTGCAGTTGCTGATTTTCAAATTTGTATTGTTAGGTTTCAATACTACATAGTCTTTCTGCTGATATGCATTTTTTGATCCAGTGTTACTAGAAAACATGCTTTTTTTGAACCAGTGTTACTGGAAAAAGTCTAATACCTTATCAATTTAAATTTTGATATGGACGGTCTAAAACATAGTGCGCTTTTGTTCCAAATGGGTGAATTTAGCAATCTAAAGTGATTTAAAAAGCACGAGCACTTATAAGAAAGTAGCGTGTCTGTGTTGGATACCGACACTCATTGGACACTTGTGTCCAACACTCATCAAAATGTGTCCTATTTTTTAAAATGGTTTTTTAGATTTGGACACTTTTCGGACACTCATGTCTATTGCTTAAATACGCGTGTCCAGATTAGACACACATGAAACTAATTATAAGTTTGAACAAAATAACTTGGGGTACAATAATAGAAGAAAAATCATGTAAATTTATAAACTAAGTGTTATATTACATTTTTTATTATTTTTTAATGATATATTCATATATATGACATATAATAAATATATAACATTATATATTTCAAGCGTGTCCCTCACGTGTTGTCCTGTAGTTTTCGCAAATTGGTGTGTCAACTTTTTTGTGTCACGTGTCCGTGCTTTGATTTTAGATTTTTTTTTCCCAATATATTTCTTGTCCTTGGGAAGAAAGAAATCAATACAGGAATTAAACCCCAAGGAGAGTGGAGTTTGGCATAACAGAATGTACGAAAATGGATCATAATAGTCATATAAACTACCTATTATTGGATGTCTAATTGCAAAAAAGGTTTTTTTTCTTGTTTAAAAAAAGAAAAGGGTCAAGCTCTGGGGGGACCTTTAATTCTAGTAGTATAATCTAAACAAGTCTTCCCCTAACGGATCACATTTTAGAACATGTGGCGTACCATGTTCCCGTTCCCATTCTTGTTCCTTTCTCGTTTCCTCTCCATGTACCAGAATGATTCATTTTCCAAGTAACATAGGTTTGATCCTTATATATATATCCTGATCTACACTAGAAATCACTGTTAAATCTTGGTCAGTTTGCAATTTTTCCTAGTGATTCTGCAGTTTAAAAGTTGTCAATTATGCCCCCATATCGTTTTATTACGAAGAACTCTACTGTGACACATGTAAGCAAGGTTTCTATGCTGTGCCAGTACACTATCCATTTGGTAAATTTCTCATGCTGTCACAGATCCAAAAATGACTTGTTGCATTCCAACCTTATTGCGTACCATACTTTTTCGCACATATGTTAAATTGTAGAAATAAGGCATTGTGGCTTATGGGGTATCACTGTTTTGTTTTATTTTGTTTGATCGGTTGTTTGTTATTCTTTACTAGTTTCTTATTTTTGTTTATACTTTGCTATCTATTGTAGACATGGGTTTTGGGGGAAAGACCAAGGTGTGCCGTGGGAAACCTGCAAATCAGAGCATTATGGTGGTGAAGTTCAGTGGCACATTTTCTGGGTTGCAAGAAGCAGAGAGGCTTCACAAGTTTTTTTCTGGCAATGAACGTGGAAGAACTGAACTGAAGCAGGTCACTCCTAAAAACAACAGTAATGCTGATGATAAAACGCAGAAAGCGAACAAGGTGGAACGTGTTTTATATGGTTACCTAGGAATTGCGGAGGATTTAGATAAACTTGATTTTGAGACTAAGAAATGGTGTTCTGTGAGGAGCAAGAAGGAGATCTAGTGCATAGCTGATGCACCTCTAAAAACTGAATGAAAGAGAGTAATTGCGTTGATAGCCTTGAATATAAGTAGGGTATAGATGGTTTTTGGCAATGTGCTAGTGAGTCGAAAATTTGGATCAGGTTAAATTTTGTTTTCCACTAGCAATAATCTTATGAAACAGCTCTTTTTGACTTTGAAGCTGTACAATCATGTTATGGTCTTTTAATCAATGGTTGGAATTTCTAATTTCATAGTGATATTTAATAGCCACTGAATGGGGAATTGGTATGTTTGTGCCATTTGTATTCCTTAGCTACTGTAGATAGAATCTTGACATATGTGATTGCCTGTGATTTGAAGGTAATTGATTATTGCTTAAGCTTTAGGAGGCTATTGAATTTACCCATTTGGGGGAAGGATTAGTTCATAGTTATTCTTCTAGTTAAACCTAGGCAACTTGTTCAATTGTCATGCAAGTGTTCTTTAAAGACAAAAAATTTACCCATTTTGGGGGAAGGATTAGTTCATAGTTATTCTTCTAGTTAAACCTAGGCAACTTGTTCAATTGTCATGCAAGTGTTCTTTAAAGACAAAAAATACAACCACGTGGCTCGAGTCTCATTGGCTATCTTTAGGGATTGCAAGACTTGTGTCCATTAAGCTTGGGCTATCGGTCAATTCCTTGTCATTATGCTTTTGGTGAGGCTGGGGCCAGGCTATGGCTGAGCTCATCTTGAGGGAGCGATTCTAGAATCATCCGGCAGACCCCACGTTTGTGGGCTCGTCTGTGCCCCTCGTATCTACTTCTCTATCTAGCAGGTAGGGACTTTCATGTTCACTTTTAGAAGTGAATATTGGATATAATGTGCCGGTATCGTCATCCAATAAGTAATCTCACTTTGCAGTAGGGATCAAAACATTGTTGGTTAATGGAAGACGAGTTTGGTTCATCTAAACTCATTTGTAGTTTTTTATTGGCTAGTGATACTATGTAGGATGACTAGTGTATGCCCGTGCTTAAAGGCACGGTGTAAATAATATTAAGATTAAAATGCAGTTATAAAAACAACAAATCCAATTGTATAATTGCATTGTGTCATGATCTAGAACCAAGTTTGACTCAAAGGCAACACCGCACCTCATTACCAAACTTTGGATACTAATCTTAAAATGCAAGCTCCCATAGAGAATGTTAAGCTCTTTGTGATATTCACGTCTTTCATAATGAGTGAGAATATTTTACAGAGCAACAACATGAAAGTAGTTAAAAAATCCAAGTACTCCATTTCAGCCTTTACCAAAGAAAATGCACTTTAAACTCTGGATACTAATCCTACGCTTGCTTGCCCTTGTTTACTTGCAGGGTTATAATAGCACAACAAAATAAAAACAAACAAAAGATGACCCTGCTCTTGAAATCATCCAAAGTAGCAAACTTGAGAAATCTAGCCATATTTATAACATCTATAAATACCCACAAATCTCAAATCCATGGGTGTATATGATTATAAGCATTCTAAAGATATTGACTAATTCATGAAAACATGGTAGTTAAAAACAAACATAAAAAGCAATTTTGGCACAGAATCGTAACCACAAAACCCTCAATTATACACGCACAAAAAAATCACAATTTTCAGATTGATCATTCAGAACCACAACAAATTACAAGTTGGAATAGAAAATTACGAAAAAATAAATATGATTGAAGAACATGAGATAGAGATGGAAACTTACCTGCTTGCAACAATCAACGGAGATACAGAAAGATATTATTAGGG